TCTAACTCCTCCCCTGTGTCCCCCATAGTCCACTCTAACTCCTCCCCTGTGTCCCCCACAGTCCACTCTAACTCCTCCCCCTGTGTCCCCCACAGTCCACTCTAGCTCCTCCCCCTGTGTCCTACAGGAGACAAGGGGCCTACGACCTGGGAGCATGTCTGGTACAAGCCAACAAAGGCAGCAATCAAGGTCCTCGTTGAGGACTGGACTGGACTCCCCGCCGGCCTAGCTGTCCACGTCCCAGAAATCTTTCTTCCTTCTTTTTGGTGTGAAGTGCCATCACGTCGGGTCTCTTAGTGACCCTGTATAGGGTTTCTGAAGAGTGGCTGGTGGGTTTGAACCACTGGCCTTGATTGTCCTACAGGGCCACACCAGGACTTTCTACTTGCTTCCTCAGCAGCCCTTACTCACTGTGACCAGAACAAACACACCAACTATCTTCAGAATGGAGCTGTCCGGGCCTCGACGTGGGGGGGCAACATTGCTTTGACATTAAGACGCAGCCTTCCCCAGCCCAGTACTGTATGTGAACGGCACACTCACCTCGTCAGACGCAGACCGGAGACACTGGACGGCAGCTTGCTTTTTCATTTCTTCCAGAGTGAGGTCTGAACACCTTTTCTTACTCCTGCCCCACTTCTTGTTGGCACCTTTCTCCCAGCCCAGGAAGATGTCATTCTCCTGCAGTCAGATTGGACACAGCTGAGTGACCAGACCCACCATGCAGCCCCTAGCATGCCACTTCCCACGTGCCGACAATCAGCAGGCAGACGGCCCCGGGGGCCGAGCCGGTTCTGTTGTGCGTGTAGTACGTTCCCGGATCGGTCCCGCACACAGCCAGTTACCAGTGCTCACGGCGCTGATAGCTTAGTAGCTAAACGCTGAGCCCCTGTCAACACTGCCAGTCCATTTGCTCTAATCAGACACACACTTGGTGGGAAAACAGGAAGGAGGGAAGAGGCAGTTATCTAGCCCTCCCCACGCTGACAACCAGCTGTGTGGCTGGCAAGGGTTAGCCTTTTCTGCAGGCTTTCCAAAGCACAGTGGGAGTGATTTCATCGATACATCTCCATGCCGCTACCAATGGCCACAGCATGTCCCCAGAGTGACGCTTACTCAGCCACTCCCCCAACTGGCAGTCCCCCTATGTACCAAAGACACAGCTCACCCCCACTGCCCCCCCCACCCCTGGCTGCAGCCGGTCCCTGTGTTAAACCCATCCTCTTCAGGGTACAAGTCTTTCTGACTGACTTGGACTTTTGTTGTTGTTAAGTCCTGTGAGTTGATTCCGACTCATGGGGACCCTGTATAGGGTTTCTGAGTAGCAGCTGGTGAATCTGAAGTAACAACCTTGCAGTTCAAACCACAGGGCATCATCCTACAGTTCCACAGCAGAACTTGAGCTTTACATACCAGTTTTAATTGCTTTGTTATCTTTAAAGCCTTTCCATTGACAATTAACATGACCAACATGCAATCAATAGGTGTGGATCATTACTAGTGATTAGAATGCAGAGGTTTGAAACAAAAGAAGAGGATTCGGAGTTGGAAAATAGGGCCTTGGTAACAGAACCGATGTTAGAGATCACGTGATAGAATTTTCCAAGACCAATGACTTCTTCACTGCAAATACCCTTTGAAAGCGTAAAAGAAGACTGACTATGCATAGACCTCATCCGATGGAAAACACAGAAATCAAATTGCCTACATCTGTGGGAAGAGACGGCGGCAAAGCTCTACATCATCAGCCAGACCCAGCCCAGGACAGACTGTGGAACTGACCATCAACTGCTCATGTGCAACTTCAGGCTGAAGCGGAAGAAAATGTCAACAATCCACGAGAGCCAAACTTGGACCTTGAACATATCCCACCTGAATTTTGAGATCATCTCAAGAACAGATTTGATACATTAAACACTAAATAAAGACCGAAAATCAGAAGCGCTATGGGATGACATCAACATCACACAGAAAGCAAGCCCAAGGTCAATAAGAAGACAAGAAAGAAGGACAAGACCAAAATGGAGGTCAGAAGAGACACTGAATGAAACTTGCTCTCCAGCATAGATCTGGATGCTAAAGCAGATGGATGAAGTGAGGCAGTTAAAAGAACTACATAGAAAATTTCAGAGGGCAGCTTGAGAAGACAGTGATATATTGCAATGAAACGTGCAAAGACCTGGAGTTAGAAAACTAGAAGGGAAGAACACACTCATTTCTCAACCTCAAAGAACTGAAGAAAACATTGAAGCATCAACTCAAAATATTCAAGGACTCTATCCTGGAGGGGCGTTGTCCGGTGAGGGCTGGGCCACAAGGGCGGTTTGAACTGCAAGGATCCGTAATTCAGACTCACCAGCAGCTGTTCCTCAGAACCCTAAAGAAGGTTGGCTGTGACTCACAACCAACAAGACAGCACTGACAACAACAAGGGCACAGTACTGAAGGATGCAGAAAGCATTAAAAGAAGACAGAAAGGTCCGTATTTGTGCCCATTCAAAGATAAGGTCCCCAATGGAATGTGAAAATCACTAGACAACGTCGTTGATATCAAATCCAAGTCAAGTTCTGCTAAAGATCATTTTTAAACGGCTTCACCAGTCCGTTGACAGAGAGCTTCCAGAGGTTCCAGCTGGCTTCAGACAAGGACCTGGAATGAGGACTATCACTGCTGACATCAGATGGAGCCTGGCTCAGAGCAGAGAATACCAGAAAGATGTTTACCTCTGCTTTATTGACCGACTGTGTGGATCATGACAAGCTATGGACAACACTGTGGAGAATAAGCATTCCAGAACACTTAATGTGCTCATGAAAAACCTGTACTTAGACCAAGACGCATTTGTTCAAAGAGAACATAGGGACACTGAATGGTTTCAAAACAGGAAAGGAGTGTGCCAGGGTTGCAATCTGTATACTGAGCAGATGATCTGAGAAGCTGGGTTAGATGAAGAAAACCACGGCATCAAGATTGAAGGGAGATTCATTAACAACTTGTGATATGCAGATGATACAACCTTGCTTGCTAAAAGCAAAGTAGGCTTAAAATACTTACTGATGAAAATCAAAGATCACAGCCTTCAGTATGGGGGTGCACCTCAATGATCCTCACCACTGGGCCAGTAAACAACATCCACAGAAATGGAGACAAGACGGAAGTTGTCGAAGACTTCATTTCGCTTGGATTCACTATCAACACTCATGCGAGCAGCAGCCAAGAATTCAGACAATGTTATCACATTAGGTAAATCTGCTGCACAAGACCTCTTCAAAGTGTTGAAGAGCAAAGTTATCAGTTTGAGGACCAAACTGC